GTGTGTGTGTGTGTGTGTGTATTCTTTATTACATGTTAAATGAACCAAATGAGCAGATAGCAATCAGCCAAAGGGCAAAATGAGCTTCTGCACAGCAACCCTAAATACAATAGAGGCGGGTTGTGACCTTAAGCCATGGTGACTGTGTGTTCAGCTTACCTGAGGCCATATTATGCACATGCAGATATATACAGAGTATAAAGCTCAATCAGAATGTCCTCCATAGACAGCACCAACTATCCAATCAGAGCCGTATTATTATCAGAGCATTATCCATTTTTCTTTATGAAATTCTTTGTCATTTATTTGAAGAAGACGTAATTGAGCCCGTAGGCGAGAAGGCTGTTTACTAGAATGGAAGAAGGGGATGGGGGAAAAAAAAATCTAATTATGGATAATCAATGGCCTAATAGAGCATTTGAAAAGGAGCTGAAAAGATAGAGAGGAAACGTAGATAAATGGGGGAAGAAGCAAAAGTCGGAGGGAGAGATATATGACGGAGTCGTATCAGAGGAAACGAGAAGAATGCCCTGGTGGTTTATGACAGTGGGAGAATGGGATGATGGTGATGAGACAAACTAAGTAGAAGAGGACGGAGAGGAGGGAGAGAAGGGTGCCTCTGCAGGGGCATGAAGGGGAGAAGAGCCAATGGCTAAAACTTTGATTATAACAGTGTCTGTAACGAGGGAGAGAAGAACAGACCAAAACACAGCTTTAAGACATACTCCACATACTCTGCACCGGCCTGTTCCAGCTTTTCATTGCAGCTACATTACTCTGCATGAAATATTCCTATCCAACACAGGAAGGAACCATCTGAGAATCGTCATGCATCATTTTATTCACGAATGTATGTACATTTAAAAACACAGTGTCTAAATAAACACAAATAATCGGAAATACAGTTATGAAAGGGAATATATCAAATGACAATTCCGCAAATGTCTGTTGGTCTGTGGAACCCATCTTGTAAAGCATTCATCTTATCAGCTCCACACTGGCTATGTGTTTCCTTAATGGTGGTCAGCAACTGGCAAACTGAGGAAAAAAAATTTTGATAATCAGATTTTTTTTTTTTATTTCAGCATATGAGACTTTCAAACACATTCACAGGTGTCGTGGGTGCTGTTCTCCGTTATGGCAGAAATATGTTTAGCATCAATGGTTTTTTGAGCTTATTTATGAAGCTTTTTTTTGATAAGTTGTGAACATGGGTCTGAAGAGAATATAAATTGGTTAACAGTCCTGTGAAATAGCCAACAGGCAGAAATATAACAACAGTTAAAGCCCCTACAAGGAGTTTTTAACTGGTTGTGAAATGTTCTTATTTTAATGTTGCTCCCCCTTTATGCCCCACAACAGCAAATAAGACGATCAGGGAGAAAATTGTCTTTTACTATAAACTATTCTCAATGACTGGATCACCCGCCAAGTCAGATGCAATACATTTATGGCAGTCAGGCTGGAAAAGCCTTTGTTTCGGCTAAAGGCTAACCCGTACAGACCAGCACTCCCAAGTCTGTCGCTCACCAACTCCAGGGCTCTTACAAACGAGAGGTGCCAAACTCAAAAACAAAGAAAAGTTCCTTGGAGCTTTAAGTAAATAGTTAAACTTATATATAAGCCACACATGTTAACAAGCCACACATGTTAACAAGCAAACAGCCAGCAGGTTTGAAACACGTATACCACAGTAAACACTGTAATAGTGGGTTTGGGATAATAATAATAATTGCATCAAAGCAGAAGGAACTCTGGGGAATTGACAGGCACAATGTGATGAATAAAACCTTTTTTTCATGCAGCAGGGAGAGAAGACTCACGTGTTCTTGTCGTTTATACTCTATCTATAGCTTATATACCCTAAAGAAAACAAAGACAGGAAAGCAGTCACTAACCCCATGACAAGAACCATTCAGTCAGTCATACTCCCAGGTGTTCATGCCTTCCTCAGTGCACTAGCCTTTTCATGTCACAGTTCAGTTGACTGTCAGCTCACTCGCATCTGGCCTCAGCTTGAACACACAGATCACATAGCCATCAGCAAAAATAAATATATTGGCAAGCCTTGGTATACCGCAGACAAGAAAAGAAGAAAATTGGATACATTCAAGTGACAACTCACTGTGACATCATGCACCCATTGGTTTTTAAAATGCTGTTTTCAAAGAATTTGGCATTTTGGCCAGTGCCATCTCGGTTTTTTGAAAGTTCCGAAAGTAAATTATATTTGGAAGAGCAGACGTTAAGCCTAACTGAGATCTTGCAGACACTGCATGCCCACCTACACCTGTGATCTCCACCCATTTGAGGATATTAACTGTCAGTCACATGTCCCAATGCATATCGTGGTTCATTGAAGAGCTGAAAATAGCGATTAAGACCATAATTCACTGAGGAAAATGTTTATTGACGGTATAAATTAAGAGAGAATTAGGGTAATTTTCTTATAGACTTCTGTAGAATTGGACTAAGCAGCCAGTGGAGTTGTCCTCTGCTGGACATGCAAGAAAATACAAGTTTCGGGCACTTGGCTTCACTTTCTGTATCTGGAGGCTATGTCCATTTTCATGTCTATGGTTACGTCTTCAGTTGCAAAGCCGTGCAAAGGAACCAATGACCACATTTACTAAATGCCAACATATTTGGACAAAGCATGCAACCTGTAGAAGCATTAATCAGCATATTAGCTAATTTATGCAAGTTAAAACTTACCACTGAGGGGAACAAAATATAGGCTGAAAGAAGGCAAAGTGGGGAAACTTCTTCATAACTAAAAGCTTTACATTTTAAACAGACATGCAGAAAGAGATAAGGATAAGGAATCTGTGATTAGCGGCAGGCCAATCAGGCGTTTAATCATTATTCAGATCTCTCGACCTCTCTCTCCAGCATCCAACTCAGCCCTCATTTTCCCCACTAACATATTCTGGGCAGTGTTCCTGATGGCACTCCTCACAACTCTCCAACAAAAACTCATGGCGAAGACACTGAAAGTTTCAAAAGATGGATCCAGAATTTAAGGGAACGTTGCCGTAATTAATTGATGCTGCAGCGAGCGCAGGGCAGAAGGTTTTCATCTTTAATGGTGCCGCTCGGGAACGTACTCAGGCAAAGTGTGCATTACTGCCTATCCATAATTGATGTGTCACATCCACCACACAGAGCTCTGGTTGGGTTGACTGTGTAAAGGGATATGCCACACATTCCAGATTGAAATGGAGGCACTCTTTTGCACAGCCTCTCTCTCTCTCTCTCTCTCATACACACACACAAGGCACACGTTTCTTTTACTACAGCATATTCTGTTACATAACAGTATTTATAACTCTTTACCATGCTTCATTACAACTTTTAGCAGGAAATATAAAGAAGATTGTTACAACACCTTAATAGTACATATATATAAGTATATACTGCATGTTATATATAGTTATATAGTTTCACATGTATAAGTCATACATTATACTTCGCAGAATTATCTTTGAGTTTATCATGTGGGGAGGAGACGTAGAAGCTCTGATAATGAGGTGAGAGAAAGCTAAAGCTATCAAGTTATTGAGTTTATTGACTTCAATATCACGTATATAGTGGCTTTGAAAAGGATTTGGATGCATTCACTTTTAGTGTTATCTAAAAATCTAAAAATTTGTATGTGGAACAGATATCTCGAACAACTTCAGCACTTCATACGTTCAATATCAAGTGACTTTGTGTAAACATGCAACTTGTGCTCTGTTGCAGTGGTGACTGGGTCTCATCAACGTAAGTGACGTTGTTGATCGTGACAACAGCATATTCACAACCACAACTGTTACTGCAGCATAAATCTACACATAATGCCAAGTGAAAATATGCCTTCATAATTTATTTGCAAATGCATTAGAAATTTAAAACTGAAATAACCCATCGGCAAAGTTGATTAAACATAAAGAAAGACACAATTTAAATCTACAACACAATTAAGTGCCACTGTATTTGATAACGTTTTCAAAATCAGAATTATTGCAAATACAATAATTTTTTTATTTGTTTGTCTGGCAGGCTCCTGTGATGTTTTATAACTGTAACAGGTAAGCTTAAAGGAATTTATACCCATCAGTAGTAGCAGCTTCTTCTAACACACACAATCATTCATCCACATTTTCTAGGAACATTGAATCCAGCAGAATCCATAAAAGTGTTTGACTAAAGTCATTCCTCTCTCGGGCCTGGTTGGCTTTTTTAGTGCAGGCATATTTTGGCCAGGGCTTACAGGAGAGGCCAAATGTTGCCTAGGCAACAGACAACCGCATTTGCCCCAAACCACACACACACACACACTCTAAATGAAGAAAATTCATCAAGGGGTGAATGAGCACAAACACACTGACACAACAACACAAAATAATCCCTTTATCCTAATACACTCAAACACACACACACACACACACAGACATCTCTTGTGTGGAGTGAGATGTGCGATCAACTGTCCACAACAGTGCTAATGAGTTACTATTGTGAGCTGCAGCTGGGCGACCTGTCCCTGACTCTCTACACAACAGCTACAGGCGGATTATGCTAATGCTCGCACTTAAAACAAGAACATGTTGACAGTGACTTATTTTAATGTGCTTTGTTGCATTATAGGACGCATTCATCAAATCTGGAAAGTTGCTGCTTTTATTCTGGTGGCTGCATCGCCTCAGTCTGAGCCAAAATAGCCTGATGTGTTTGTTGCTGATGTGGGTATTGTTTTATTGAGTCGGTGCAAAGCATGATATTAAGATAGAGAAAGGCAATGAGAGCAGTAATGGTGAGATATTGTCTGACACTGGCATATCTAAGGGCATCTGCTTGTGTGTGAGTGTGTAATGTGTTTTTTTATTGGTTTATATTGCAGTTAAAGTGTCAGTCTTTCATTTTTTCATTAAAATAAATGTCTGTAAATGGCTAAATGACTTAACACAATGGTTATTGAGCCTATTGATAAAGGTATCGTAATATTTATATATATGCAGTATTATGAACTGAACCTTTCCCCCTGCTGCAGCTTTCCATTGAAAGCACTCAAATTGACTTTTATTATGAAATGCAATGTGTTGCTAAGTGAGCCTGGTACTTACTGTGATAGCTGGAGGAAGATGTTTGATTGTTGTTGGTTGATTGTGTTGGTTGATTGGTTGGATGGTGAAGATTCCAGGATTTCCATGAAATTGAGCAGAAGGAGCCAAAAGAGAACCCAGTAAATTTGGGCATGAAGCTGGACAAAGATGCAGACCCAGGATTATTTTTTATAATTATCTTGCGAGACATTGTCACCAATTTCCCAGAGGGTAATGCATAAAGCATATTTTGAGAATATCTGGGTGTATGCAATTTGGTTAGGCTTGATTGAATTTAAGGAGGACTGATGAGCCTTGGAGGAGAGACACGACGTTCCCATTATGCCAAAAGATATTTTTTGGAGCTTGTTCACAAACAAATCAACTATATTACACATGTTGCAACATTTCCTGCGGTGCTGTAAAATAACCTGCGACAACTGCTGTGATTGCAAATCAGCTCTGGAGTCACATGGAGACAAAGGAAATCACAATTATTGTGATTATATGTTTTTTTTCAAATCTAACCCTTATGTTTTTTGGTTTTGTTGCTGACATTTAAAATGTATTTGACTTTTGGAAATTATGCGACCCTCCCTCTGTGTCCCGACCCCTAGTTTGGGAACCACTGCTCTATTTAGAGCCATTGGTTAATGCAAGTTATTTTTTTGACAATGGAATACTGTGAAATATTGTGGGCACTAATGGAACAAGAAGGAGCAGCCTCTGTGAGCTGTTGGGTGAAGAGCTGCAGGCGAACCTCTAACCTCTTAGCAAGGTAACTGGCTCGGTTCACTGTGCCTAGCTGCTCTCTGTGGACACTATGGGCAGCTCAAATAAGATCACAGTTTCTCAAATAGTGACGGGAAAAGGACAATTTGATTAAAAGGAACAATTGTTTGTTTCAGTGCCTACAGAATTCCACCAGTACCAACAAGCGTCACCAGATCTAATTAAATCTTTAACACCACTGCCACTCGTACATTCACAATGTGTGTGTGTGTGTGTGTGTGTGTAGAGAGCATAGAACTGAGATCAGCTTCTTGAACCACCCACCCTCAATCCAAGGACGCATTACTCACTCAAGGTTCAATCACTCTGATGCAAAACAAAAAAGCAACCCTCCATTAATTTAAGTGAGAAATGACTCAAGTTGCTCTTTTGATGCTTTTGGATTACACATGGTTTTCATCAGCTTTCTTCTCCTTTCTTGTTATTACAGGTAGGATGGGAGGTATGACTCACTGCTGCAGCTCATTACCCAACCCAGTATAGTAATCAGACTTACCCACAGCTAAAATCAATTTGTGGCAGCTGTATAGTACCGTACTTCCACTGCCAGCAGAAAGAAATGAGAACAGAACAAACAGTAAATGCACTTACTGCATTTCCTTACTGTGTTGTGAACATTTGAACGATCATTATTCACCTTAACTCAAGGAGACAACCATACACGACATACGGTATGTGGTCACGTTTTAAAATTTGAATTTATACTTTCATTATTTGTTATCATCATCATTATCTAAAGACAATACTTAACACAATAATGCATTCAGACCAAACACAAAGCAAATTTCCCATGTGATTACATTCCAAGTCATTGCAAAGACGTGAATAGGCGCAAAGTTCTCATCACTTGCATCGGGCAAAGCAAATGATGATTTGATGTGACACAAAAATTCTTGCCTCAAACAAAAATATAACCTCCTTGACATGAGTAAAAATGTTGGCTGTCTGAGAAGAAATTGGAAATGAAAAGCAATCTATCATGTCCAAGTCCAACACTGAAATGTCTCCATGGTCTGTTTCAACTAAAACCTCAAGCTAATTCCTCCTTCTGTCCAAAGAGACAAAAGTTCTAATTCACATCGTTGTTGATGTTGCTTTTGTTATGAGGATGGTCTCCACCTACAGTTTTCAGTATTAAGGTTTCCTCTGAGGTTTGAAGAATGTTTGAACAAGCCGAGGCTAATTTGACCATTACCTATGTGAAGGAGTTACCGTCTAATATACAAAGAAACACACTGTGATTTCTAAACATAATAACTTAATAGTATCATCTATCTGAGTAAACTTTAATATCTTCTGTACTGTGTTCTGTTTTGTACTAGTGCTCAAAGTTCTTACAATCACCTTAGTGTGTAATATGAGTGTAAAAAGAATTTCCCCTTGTGGGATCAATAAAGGAAGTTTTTAAGTTAAGTTATTATATTCAAGTGCTAAGTCAATGCTGTAGCTGTTTAAACAGCTGAAGGGAGAAAACTTGGGCTTTTCATCACCATAAAATTACATTTTTGGGATGATTACCATCAGTCATCAAATTCGTCAACATACATTAGTCTTCTGTTGCCCCCTCGTGAGTTTCCACTCTGCTCTAATGGCCCGGGGCTGGCTATGAACTGGCCGCTGCGCTATAGCATGCTAATGAGGCGGAAATCCAATATATCAGGATCTATAGCTGAGGCCTCTGGAGGTTGCAGCTCTTTAATTTGTAGTGTGAGCATCAAATCAGCTGTACATGTGTGAAATGAAGGAGTATAGATATGATGGCATAAGCAGGCACACACATATACACACAAATTAATGAACTAGTGCGAAAGGTCCAGGGAGTGATCTGCTCATCTGCTTTACCTGTGTTTCAATACAACTCTATAAAATAAAACTCTTGAGACATCTTCTATATAGTACATTATTTTAAAAACAAAGTTTCTCATTCCCTGAGTTAGTAATGATAATATTATACCCACCAAAGTAATTAGTGTGGTCATTAAATTAGATGAGAAACAATATATTCATATCTTCATTTAGATGCACTGGGAACATTGTCCATAATGTAAAGTGTAAAAGGGGTAGTGTCTATGTTTTTGGTAACTCAAGATACTTGGGGAACATTGAGTAAATATGGTTTTAAATATTGAAAATGTAAATGATTTGCAGAACAAGATAACAGTAACAAGTGGAATCAAACTCTGGTGTTTGATTTCCTGAGCTCTGTACACCTTGCAATCCAACCCAGTGGCCAAATCCAAGTCTTCAAGCGTATCTTGTGGTAAGCAAGTAGTTACATACATCTTTTTTATAGGAGTTTAATGTGCTCTGTTTCAGTGACCACTTTGTTTTAGCGTGGTCACATTCCAATAAATCCAAAAAGTCTCTTCATATTTGATTTTGGGGCAGTCTGCTTTGTGTTGGCTGTCTGTGTGCAACATGTTGGAGCGGCTGTAGCTTGGGAACAACTGAAATCATTAGTCTGAGTCTATTAATTTAGAGCAGTAACAAAGCAGCTACATCAGAGCCCATGATGAAAATGTGTATCCTCTTCGGTCATCATAGAGGCCAAAACCATGTCATCGTGAATGCCTGACAATGAGTCTGCAACAGTCAGTGGTCATTTTCAACCATTTGTGTCGTGTGTACAGTTCAGAACAGTGTGTGATAGTATTATCTATTAGTAGCTCCCCAGGCTTGGACAGTTCCAGCAGCAGATTTTCAACATTACTCACAGGCAGCCTTATTAGCTCAGTGATTCACTTATTTACTCATTTACTATAAGCGTCAATTTCTGAAGTACAGAGAATAATGTCAGAGAATGTGCTTTAAACATGCTAAGTTATCATCACAGTCAATTTATTAATTGATCATTTGTTCTGAAGGCTGTTAATGAGTGTCTACAGCTGCTGGACAAAGAGTTTCAATATATTGATTTATCGGTTGCCAGAGGGGTTTAATCTTTTCAGCACATTCATGTCTTCTCACGGTTGTGTCGACATAACTGGCAACCGGGGTAAGTACCTGTAACACTTTCAAAACCATTTTTGACAGAAAAGTCTATTTTGCTTATGAGGGTTTCTAACTGAGTGAAATAACCCAGACGTATCGTGTAAGTGGCAGTCCTTCTAAAATGGTCTAAATGATGAAGGCAATATTTAGAAAACACTGGACCATCAAAAAAAGGAAAAGATAAGAACATAATGCTGGCCCACAATTCATCACAGCAGCACCATTTAAAGTGACGTAACAATGTAGGGGCCGACCCAAATATGTGAGAAAAAACAACAGCTCACCTGTTTCACTCCTGTGACATGAAAACACCAAAACCTGTGGAAATCCTTGAATGATTGGCTGAGCTCCAAATCCATGAATATAGATTTATTCTGTTTTCGAATCTGTCCAGTCAGAAACCACATCCATCCATCAATCTATAACATTTATAATCTGAAGGTCGTCTGGGGGCTGGAGCCAGTCACAGCTGATCACTGTTAAAACACAATCACATCGAATTCAGTTGTTCACAATATGATTAGCGTGACAAAATGCATGTACGGCATAAATGATATATCACTGAATCCACCCTGTCTGAAAACACTGTTTCATAGGAGGTGTGATTCCGTTTGACATTTTACTTGATTTGGAGGTGTACTGAACCGAGTTTGTCACTGTATATCATCTTCAACGTGTTATAAAGTTGATTGAAGTGCAGTCAGATTCTCTAAGGAAAATGTTTTTCTCTTCATAAATATTCATGAAACTTCACGTCTTTCTTTAACCTCCATGTTTTCCTTTTGGCGCCAAGGAAAAGAAGATCTTCCTTCCCTACGGTTCCTCCACAGCCCTAATATTCAGTAATGGTGCTTCTGCAAAATGGTGTCGAGGGGGGTACCTCGTTTTTTGTAACATGAAGGAAGTTGAACACTGTCATTAAAATGGCTAATTTACAAACAAAAAAGAACACTATGAAAGATGTGATTTCATTATGCAAATGCTGCCATTTGTAGCATGTTTGTTTTCAGCTCAGAGCTGGGGAAGTGTTTTTTGTTGTTGCTATGATTTAGAGATTTGGGTTAAAATCATTTCATGACATGTACTATAGGTTTTTATGTGCTCCTTCTTCATCTCCAGCTCTAGATGAGTCATTCCCTCTGCACTCAACTCATCAATATTACAAAACCCTCCCTCCTCATGCCAGTGGGGCCCAGGCCGCATTACTAATTTAACTTTTATTTTTCTGTTTCTCTGCCTACCTCACCTCTGCCTGCTGAGATGATTCAAAGAGGTTAGAAGGTGCATAGTGATGGGATGACGCTCCCTGCTTGCAATAGCTGAATGGAAGACGTGTGGAATATTTAAACCCAGCTGGTGACCTGAGAGATGAATTAACAGGAGTATTTGTTTGTCTGTCCTTGGAGTGTATTGTTAATCAACATCTCCAGCGTTGAGATTTGTCACTGTAACGATCACAAAGGTCACTCTCAGCCTCACCCCATTGGTCTCCTGCAGTTTTGACACTTTGGGTGTTATTGGACATTGATTCTTCATTTTGCATCCTTGAATTGCAGGTGAATCATTGGGCCTGACTTGCATTTCAAGGCAACTCCTGTACAAGATGAAAGCTCCACAGTTACAGTCCGATGATAAAGTATTAATATCGACCACTGTGGCTAGTTTCTATTGATTAGCTGGGGGAGGGGGGTTGAATTGAAAAGCCAATGAATGCAATAGGTCATGTGTGTGTGTATTATCTACTAGATGCTATGTAGCCCTGGGCATATAGCCAGGTCTAATCCTCTCATACCATCAGTGGTGCCGTCATAGCTTGTGAATGTATCAAGTGCTACATATATTGTCATAGTACTCCATTATAAATGTAATAAAGGTCCAGTGTTTAAGATGTAGGGGTTTATTGGCAGAAATTGAATATAAAATAATCCTTGTGATGTTTTTACGTGTTTTTGCGTTTGATCTAAATTGTATGAATTTTTGTTTTCTTTACTTTAGAATGGGCCGTTTATATTTATATACCTAATATCTACATCGGGGGCGGGTCCTCTCTACAGAGACTTAACAGCCGTGCCAATGAAAGAGACAGAAGCATTTAGGCGGTAACAGTTACATCTTTTGAAATGGACTTATCCCCCTTCATAAGAAAAGGCAGCATAAATATTTGTTGTTGCTAAAATGTTGTATTTGTATCGTAATTGTTATTTATTTGACATTTACATGTAGTTTCTACCTGTTATTTAATTGTTAATGTTTACTTGCTTACAGCTGCTTTTACCTTTTTCAACAGGTACGCTGTCATTTACCATCTTGTAATTTCAGTTACCGGTTCCTTGAGCTTGGATCATTACTCACCTGATACACGATTAGCTCAGTACGTCTTACCAACAAACCACTTATATACTATCGACTCTAGTTTGTTCTGTATGGTTTCCAGATTTGAACTGCTCCTTGCAGGTTAAT